AGTGTGTTGTTGTTTAATGCTATACATAACAAGATATTAATACCTTATAGCATGCTGGTAATAACTAATAGTATAAGGAGCAAATAGGAGGTACTGGATGATTGTATTGTCTCATTCTTTGTGTATTCCGATTGCAAACTGTTATGTTAAGCAAAGCCTTTCTAGTGATCCCTTAGATCATCCACATTTGCAAAATGTGCATCAGCTCTTTAGTGTATTGCTCTGGAAGGATGTTTGTGAGTGCTGTTCAACTTCTCTTTTATTTCTTGTTTCCTAGGGTTATGATAATGCAGAGAGCAGTGTCCGCAAAGCTAGTGTATTTTGCCTAGTGGCGATTTATTCAGTAATTGGAGAAGAACTGAAACCTCATCTCGCGCAGCTCACGGGAAGCAAGGTACAGGAGTAATGTGGCTCTGATGTTTTGGTAATGGCCAGCTGAATGGCTTGCACTACTTCCAGCAAGACCAGTGGCTTCACGGTAGTTTTGGGTCAAGTTCCCTGTGCTCTGTTACATCCTATCTCACCCTGCCAAACACCAATAGAACAGCACAGCACTTGCTCAGTGTGAGCGTTTGAAATCCCACTAAACAAGTTTTGATGGGGTTCAGGGATTGATTTCGTGATGCATTTGATGCTGTGTAACTGCAAGCTGCCACTGAGCGGGTCCTTCCCACTGCAGCCATGTTTACCTTGCCCCTTTGGTGTTGCATCCGGGGTGACCATGCAGTGAGTTGGCTCAGGCAGCTGCTCTGGCTGAAAACCAGACCTGCAAGTGAAGTCAAGTCCTAATTCAGCTCTGTCCTTCAGACAAGAGCTGGCATTTTGTGTTGAGAAGGGTGGTGCTTGATTGGTTTTCAGGGCTGCTCAGGAAGTCATCGCAAGATTTATTCTTCTGTTTGAAGTCGTCATACCCAAGATTTCTCTGCAATTTTAAGATGAATTCTGCATTTTTTTCTGAAATAGGTCTCTGCATGTGAATAGTTCAGAGGGCTTTGTTCTGTTATTTTGAAGCAATAATTTCTTTCATGGGTAGGAAGTGTGGTATAGACCAAACAACTTGAAACTGAGGACACTTGGATTTTATGAATAGAATTGCCTTGTCCTTAAACAAATTACTTGTCCTTCCAAATTGCTCTGTTAAGAGGCAGCTATGGGTGCTGAGGTTTACCTCATTATATTTAGGCAGTTAGGAAATTCCCCTATAAAATAACGTAGAGACTTTATTATCTCACTATCTTAGGTGTCACGGACTTACTCCACCACATAACTGACTATAAAACACATGAGTAATTCTTCTGGGTTTGTGTAGACTGCCTGCATGTTTAAAGTTAAATGTGTGTGTGAGTCATTGCAGGATCTGCTCACTCAAAACTGAATTCACTACAAAACAGAAGTTTTAAGACTTGCAGTTGACTTTTGTCCGCCTGTTTTTCTTAGCGTCCTCTCCTGATGTTTGTTTGTTTTCTTGCAGATGAAGCTACTAAACTTGTACATAAAGAGGGCCCAGACCACCAACAGCAACAGCAGTTCCTCTTCAGATGTTTCAACGCACAGTTAATGGAGATCTGTGGACATATGTGTAGACTTAGAAGCAATCAACGGTGCCTCTCAGAGACCTTTCTGCTGCTCTTCACTGGCACGCTCCATCAGCTCAAGGAGGCCATGCAGATATTTATTGCAATCAGTATTTTAGTCCCTTAAAAGCTTTTATGTAGAATCTTACTGGTATTGAATGTAAAGGAAGCAAGGTCTGTGTTGCAGTCTTCATTAAAAGTGAACAACAGAAAGCCATACTTAAACATATTTGTATAGCCTGCTGAAATCTTGGAAATATGTTTAGGTTAGCGTCCCAAAAGTGAGTCCAAGAACCTGGACACAGATAAAGGTCAAACAAATCTTGTTGGTTTAATTCATACCCAGTTTTGGTTTCTGTGTGCTAGTTACCTGCTCTCTCCCCATGACTGCAGCCATTCTGGCTAGGTTCTCCTCTTCTTACAAGTCTTGTGGTCCTGTTTTGTACTCCCTGTTGCAGCTTGCCTAACGTGCAAGGGCTCTCTGTAAGGAGATCTTTGCAGATGTGGCTGTGATTCCAGCCTTGGATGCTTTAATACTGAGAGTTAAGTGAGTAATGAAAAAGTAGGTTCTTTTTAATCATCTGAGTTTTTGTACATAGTTCTTCTGACAGACCGCCAGTGGTCTGATTTCTCTGTAACTGCTCTCCAGGCAGCTGTGCTGTGCAAAACAGCTGGGCTCTTGCTCCTTTCATTGTCTCTGTAAATACTTTCCCCCTCCCAACCTATTCGGCTCTTTCATATGCTCAAAAGACTCTCCAGGTTACTTGTTACTCCCCAGAGGGAACCTGAGACCCAGTTCTGGGACCGATGCCTGTGGTGGGATACTGGATTTAGGTGGGTGGGTGTTGGATTAGGCTCCCAGTGTGTCTGTGGCAGTGGGAGGTGGCGGGGCTGGATCTCAGTGCTGCCTTCTGAGGCTCCTTGCATTTTTCTTTAAGTCTGTAGCGTCAAAGGGCTGATTTCCAGCTCTGACCTGACCCACTGGTGTTGGGTAGTGAACAGCTTTGTCCCACAACTGCTTTGTGCAAAATACTCATCCCAGAGGACAGAAAGGGCATCTGAAAGTGAACAAAAAGACCCTGTGGAAGCACCTGCTGAGCCAGCTGTGACCGTGCTGGTCACCTGCCACAGCTCCTCTCCTGTGCCTGAAGAGCCTGCAGTGCTGTTAGCTGCCTTTAGAAACCTCCTCCTTCCCAGCCAGCCCCACGCATGGCCCTGCTGGCTGCTCTGCGTTCAGAGAGCCGCAGAGGGCCCTTGCTGGGCACTACTGTCAGCAGGGTGCTCCGAGTGCAGCGGGGCAAATCCTTGTGCAGCCTGATGACACAGACCAAGTCAGAGCCAAACCAGCAGCAGTTGGGTATCCCACGGCACCATCCTTCCCCAGAGGGAGACCCTTCTCTTTTAAAAGGGTGAGCTCCCCCTGCCTCTGCCTGGAAGCAGGGGGATGCCAGTGCTGTGTTTGGCCCTGGGCCGGATCCTGACTGATGGGCATTCCCACCCCAAACCCACGATGGATCAGAACTGGATTTTTGCCTCCAGTGCCAGTGATGCAAGAGGATGGTGGACCTGTGGTGATGGACGTGTGCTTTCTGGCTGCTCTCAGTGCCTCAGTTTCGCTCCAGCCCCCTAATTTTCCCTTTGAGGAGCTGAAGGGACACCTTGGTAACATACTGGAAACATGAAAGTTTCCAGCACCACAGCAGGGAGGGTAGAGCCCTGTAGTCTTCCCTTCCCATCAGTGTCTCCCTGTGTGTCTCGGCCCCAGCCTTGAGGAGCTATGCTGGGCGGTGGTGCTTGGTGCCAGCTCCCCTCCCAGTCCCCACGTCAGGAGGGGTTGGGGCCGGTGGGGACTGTGTGGGATTGGGCTGTGAAGCTTGTTGGTCCCTTTCCCTGTGGGCGTGAGGGAGGAGGAGGTGACCTGCTCCTCAGTTGTGGCAGGGTATGAGGCTTTTGTTGGCTGCAGGGGTAGTTCCCTCATCGTTCCAAATAAGTAATGCCATGGCAGGAGAAACCATGAGGTCCTGGTGGGTAGGATTCCCCCAGGCTCTCTGCAGGCTTGGAAAAGCCACCCTCACGAGGAGGGGAACTGGCTGTTCCTTGTTTGGTGTCTCCCTTTCCGTGGACCATTTCTTTTCAGCATCTTTCAGTATGCTTGTTAGAATATTCTTTTTAAATTTTTTTTATTTACTCAAATTATTTTAGTTTATCACGAATTTATTTTCCCTTTTGAGGAAATACTCAGCTGACTTGTTGGCAGCAGTTGGCTGTCTTGTTTGAATTTTTAGTAGCAGGTTTGGGATTTGTTTCTGGTTTTGATTTTTTTTTTTTTTTAATTCATACTCTTAACGCATGCCTCTCTTTCTCCTCATCTCAGTTCAGCATCTCCTGTTCCAGTTCTGGGGTTCAGAAGGTCAGCATAGCTGACCAGATGGCCATTAGTCCCTCCCAGCTGTGATGAAGCTTGGTCCATCACTGTTTGCTGTTTCTTTGTTTTGGGTTTTTAGTTTTGTTGGGTTTTTTTTTTGAATGGCACACTGTAGCAAACCTCCAGGAATTTAATTCCTTCTCAAATGATTTTATATGTTTTATAAAATCCTGTTAGTATGCACTGAGAGTGAACGCACTGTAATGTCCCTGGACTGACCCTGGTGCCGATGCTGTGGCAGGAGTCGCTGGCTCAGCCTTTGAAGAGGCCCAGGCTGCTGCGGTCCCGCCGCCAGCAACCAGCCTGCGTTTTTGGATGCTGTTGGCACACTTGGGGCTGCAAATGGTGGAACCAGGCCTTACTTTCTGAATTCTGTTTGTCAACAGATGCTCATTAACGTGCTACTTAATTTTGTTATGTGAGTCAGTCAAGGACTGTTCATCCTTTGAGTACTCTAGAAGTATGTTATACCTGTATACAGTAGGGAGCATTCTGCTTAGGTATTTATAAATCATTGCGTATAATGTACATAGTAAGGTTGTTTAGTATGTTGAACATGACCCGATTTTATTTTGTGTATGTGTTTCCTTTGAAGTACTCAAAGGGCTAGCTCTGAATGTCACCTCTCTGATCTCCAGTGTTCTGACTTGACTTAAACAAGCTGTTACAATCATTTTGATTTCTCTTCAGCAAGCATAAAGGTCTCTCTGGCTACAAATCAGTGTCCACACACGCTTGCAGAGAAAGATCTGCACACTGGCAGTGCCTCACCGCACCGGTGAAGCTTGTGTTCACATTCTCCTGGCAGTAGCCATCTACTGCAGCTGCCTTTTTTTTTTTTTCCTTGCTGCCCATTATGCAGGGCTTCAATTTTTCGTACCTTTAAAAAAAAAGAAAAAAGAAAAAAAAGAAAAATTGTGTATTTTTTTTGCCCACCATGCTTTAAAAGTCTGAATGGGAGAAAGCTCTCAGCAGACAGTGGCTCCTGGCTGCAAGGTTGCTGAAATCTCAGATCTGGATGTTTTTTTCTGCCATTGGCTGCACCAGTGCTCCGTGGGCATGGGCAAATACGGGATCCATCCGCCCCACAGGTCTACGTACTGTAGTTCTCATGTAGTGCAGAAATATCGAGGCATGTGGCTTTCTTAAGGTACACTATGTGTGCTTGCCTGGATTACAATACAATACGAGACTGTCTTTTTTATTGCTTATTACTAGCTTACCAATAACCTGTATAAGTAACGTAACTCGCATCTTTGTCATCGAAACCTTGTCTCCCCACCCTTTATTTATCAAGCATAATATTACATATTAAGGGACAGAAAAATAGACCTTTGTAGAATACAGCAGGACGTTGCTAACAATGTTTTAAATGGGAAGTAAAAACTGCTCTGAAAAATGCCAGCCATGAGAAATGACTTTGTTGGCACCGTGTTCATGCGCATGTATTTTTTCTATTTTTTCCGCTTTTGTCATGTTACATCCATATCTGTATTTATATCTTATTTGTTTCACTTTTGAGTGTATCATGGCAATTGTACAGATGTTTTTTGTTAACATTTACGTGATAGAATTTGCTAAAAAAAAAAAAATTAAAATAAAACCTTTTGCGTTTGCCCTAGAATAAGTAGTACTTGAGTTTCTTTTCAAAGGAGAAATATTAAAGTAGATTCATCATTCAACATTCCTCCTCACTGTGCTTGGAAAGGATTTGCTCTTACTCCTGCCCTGGCTGCTGTGTTTTCATGTGTTACTGAGAGGGTGCATGGGGGCCTGGTTGTTCCCCACAGATACCTGGCAGTGGGGCCTGCAGGCAGCAGATCTTTTGAGGTGCCGGTCTTTTGCTGTCAGCTTTTAAAAGCTTTTGGGAAGTTGTGATTTTAGGGGTTTCTTTTGACATTGCAAACTGGAGAGCCAAATGCTGTTTAAAAGCTGATGGTTTTGTGACATAACTCAAGGAGCAAGGGCTTCAAAAGATGCCTGTCTTACGAGGCTCACTAAGAGAACCGCAGAGGTTTTAAAACGCACGGCAGTAGAAATTTGGGTGATGGAGCATTTGGGGAGGTGAAACGGGTGGGAACTGCGCAGGTCTCTGTGCCTGGTATCAAAAGACAGCTTGAATTTGAGGTGGCCAGGGAGTCCCAGTGCTCAATCACTTGTGTTTTATCCTGGGGGAATAATATAACAATTTAAAACGCTGTAGTGAAGCTATGCTCTATGCTAGGGAAACAGGTCCCCTAAGGGATGACTTCTACCTTAATGCTGTTCCTCTGGCATCAGGGTAAAAGGTCCTCAGATACCCTGTGGTGGCTGCAAGGGAGTCAGAAAAGCACAAGAGATTTCCTGTGGGAGGCTTTTGGTGTGAATATTTGCAGACAGGAGTGCATGGGGAGCGTTTGGGTGTGTGAGCACCAGCATTCAGGATGTGGTGATTATGGCCTTGCTGGATAAGGCACTGCTGGTTACCATCCTCTGTATTTCTTTGGGAAGTTTCAGACAAGGGATAGTTTTGTGTTTGGGGGAGTTTTTTGGGGGTTGGTTTGTTTTGTTTTAGCTGCAGACCCTTCAGCATCATGCATCAGCAGCCTCACTGGTGTCTCTTTTGCCCTGGCACTCCCAGCTGCCTCCAGCCCTGCCTGTGCCAGCCCAGGGGCCCTTCTGCATCGAGATTCAGGGGCCCAACTGGGAGTGAGGAGCAGTGATTGCTCTCTGTCACACAGACCATCTTACCCCCACAGTGGTAAGGTCTTTTTTGACTTTGCTGTGTGTTGGAGCAGTACAAGAGAAGGTCCAGCCTTGCCCAGTGATCCTGGCTTCT